ACACCTTAGCATGTGAAGCTTCCGGTTTCATTTTCTTCTTGGAAACTCTCTTTCTCAATGAGGAAGGCCAGGTTGGAAGTGTGGGCTGGGATCCACCAAACAGGTGACAAACTAACTGTAAAAGTCCTGACCTTGATGTGAAACGAAGAAAAACTTTCCTCAAACCCATGAAAGATGCCTTATTCATGGAGCGAGGCCGGGCCCGCGAGCCTGATGACACCACTTCACCAAGGCGCACAACCGGAAATCAGCAGCAGGCACGAAGGAATCTTGAGAAGGAAGAAGAGAAAGGGAAAACAGCGTCGAACGCAGAAGAAAAGCCACCATGATATGTATTGCAACGTAATCATCGAATATGTATTTAAAAACACTGGAATTGTCCCAGAAAGATTATCAAAAGACGTGTGTTATCAAAGTTGAGTGCAACATTTTCGCTTTTTTTACGTTAATTAAGGATACCAAATAATAAGTATTAACAGTTTATAGGTTGTTTTGTTTGTTGTCGTCGTCGAATCGAAACAGGAGGATTTTGCAGAGAGGAGCGCGTGGAGAAGATAGATGGAGAAGGGGAAGAAGAAGGGGAAAGAAGAAGCGAAGAAGAAAAGAAGAGAGAGAAAGAAGAGAGGAGAAACGGCCAAAACTTTATAGAAAGAAAAAGTTAGGGGGGATGGGGTACCCACAGGAGGGAAGTCTGCGGAAGCGAAGGAGAAGAAAAAGGAGAGGAGAAAGAGGGAGAAGAAAGTGACAAGAGGAGAGAAGGGGGGAAAAGGGGGGGATGGGGAGGGGTTGAGGGGGGAAAAGGAAGGGGAGAGAGACAGTAAGGGGGGGAAGAAGAAGAGTAAAAAAAGAAGAAAAACAAAAAAAAAAAAAAGTGGAGGGGGTGAAATTAACTGTGAAGAGAGAAAAAGGAGGGAGTTGAGAGTAGATGTCTGAGAAAGGAAAGAGAAGAGAGAGAGAGAGCTGTGGGCATTGGACCCTATTGACATGACTGCCACGTGGGCATGTCTCATCCCTTCCACTCCCTCATACCCTACTGCTTAACACTAATCAACTATGCTTAACGCTAATCACCTACGCTTACTTCATCCATACCAAAAAAACACATAATTACATCTCTCTTTCATTCCCATCTTTCTTAATTCATCACAAAACTTGCAAGCTCCCTGTTCGAAAGTACAAAACGCAGACACTCCTGTTAGTCCGTTCCAAAAATAGAAAACCCCGTTGAAATCAAAGTTCATCTGAATCGAAGCTTGTTATCTAAGCCCCCTAGAGCTGCCCCAGCTACGGGACCACTTCAAAATCCGTTTTGCTGTGGATGCAAGTTGTTGAAGGGTTAAGGTGAAGAGAGAGAGTATTGGTGGAAGTAACAAATCGAATATAGGAGGGATAAGGCCAAAATAATAATTTATAAAAATTATAAAATAAGTGAGGTTGGCTAAACCTCACCTTACAGCCGGGTGGGGTTTTGGGTGTGGGGTTGGGGTGTTCGGGGTTGGGGGGGTGGTGGGTTGTGTGGGGTGGAGGTTAGGAAGGTAAAACGAAATTACCTAAAATGGGGTATAAGAGCAAGAGAGATTGTCCGTTACAAGCCGGTTTTTTGTGGTTTTGGAATTTTGAAAACCCACTGTTCTATAAAGTATGATTATGGTTTTGGAAAACAAGAGTGTGAGGAGACATATGGTTGCCAAAACACGAGGCCCCAGGTCCTAAACTACTTGAAATCAAAGACTCCACTGTTAGATCAGCTTTGCTTGCACCATTTCCACCTTCGTTTTTTGCTTTATGCCCCTTGCATTTTCGTCATTCAACGGACTTAATCCTCTATTTTAAGAGAGACGGCACTGAGCAATCAATGAGTCTATCAAAGTAAATAAACTGGTTTTTTTTTTAAATTTCATCGACATTTGTGTGGTTTGCTGTACCAAAAAAGGCATGCGTGATTTCAAGGCCAACAACACCTTTGAGTGGATCGAGAGGAGGGGAGATAGGGGGACAGAGGAAAGGGGGGGAGGGTGTGTGGGGAGGTTGGGGGGGGGAGGGATGGGGGGGGGTGGTTATGGTGAACAGAGAAGAGAGAAGAGAACGTGTTGTGCATTCTGTGAGTGTCGTTGTGTTAAACTGACGGTTGGAGTTTTTGTTTAGTTTGTTACAGAAAATGATACGAAAGACAAGAGGATCAAACTGGGTGCCGACGATGAACAATCCAAAATCACAGGGAGCCCCAACAGTAACGCGAACACTGATAGCAACAAAAGAGAAACTTGCGCAGATACTTCAAATTCGAAGCAGAATTCCAAAGCCTCCGAGATTCAAAACCAAAAGCCCGATTACATTCACGTCCGCGCACGTCGCGGCCAAGCCACCGATAGCCATAGCTTAGCTGAAAGAGTGAGCACTCGTTAACATTTTATTTTCTACGTTAATGTTCGGTTTGTTTCTCTGTCTGGATTTTGGTTCTTGGATTTTAAAGTAGGCTTTCTGTCTCAACTTTTTACTCAGGTTAGAAGGGAAAAGATTAGCGAGAGAATGAAGTACTTGCAAGATTTAGTACCTGGTTGCAACAAAATTACGGGAAAAGCTGGAATGCTTGATGAAATCATCAACTATGTTCAGTCTCTTCAACGACAGGTTGAGGTAAGAGTTAGGGGTGCATTTCCTCTTTACCTTTCACACTGATCTATCCGAAATTCATGTGGACCCCACTTCATTTTGCGTGGATAGTAAAAACTTACTGTGTATATTATGTGATCATCGTATGCAGTTTCTGTCAATGAAATTAGCTGCTGTGAACCCAAGGCTTGACCTCAGTATTGATGATCTGTTTGAAAAAGAGGTAAGGAATATTATGCGGTCACAGTTTTTCTTATGTCTTGGTTGTATTTTCTGATTCTGAAATATTTGATCTGATCCTATAGGTGTTTCCTTGTGCTGCGAATTTTCCAAACATTGGAATGTCATCGGATTTGACGAACTCTGGCTATGTTCAATTCAATTCACCACAAGAAATGGTTTCGTATGGAGGATTAGACACGGTGATTAACCCTCCCTACATGGGCCTAAAAAGAACTATAAGTGCCCATTTATCATCAGTGCCTGAAACATATCTTCACTCATCCTCTTTCACAGTAGGTTTCACCTCTCTTTTCCTATTCCTTCTTGTTATATTGCTCAATCTGATCTCATTTTTCTTATCCTGCAGCAATTGCTTCCCTCCTCAGCATGGGAAGGTGATTTCCAAAACGTTTTCAATTTGGATTTTGATCAAGTGCGAGCCACATCTTTCCCTTCACATTTGTCTTCAGGTAACTAAAATTTTGTGCCGTGTGGGATCAATTTTTCCTTAGCCTTCTATCTTAAAAGCAGAAAGTAGAAAGGTAAACAGAGTGGATTTTAATACGTGATAGAGACGTTAAGCCCCACTGATGTTGATAACAGCACATAAACGATTAGACCTTTTTGATTAATCAAAATTAAGATATGTTTTCTTAAAACTGATCTGTTTAATCATGCAGTTTTCTTCTTCTTTTCTTAGTCTATTTTTAACTCGCTGAGAAGGATAAGACATTAATCACATGACAAAAGGAAAAGAGACTAGGTTGTTTAGAGACTTAGTCATAATTAGTGAAATAAAATGCATAATATTGAAGATGAAGCAAGGTTCCCTTTTGGCAATGAAGTTGTTATTGGGCAAGTTGGATGAATAGGGCAGGACCAGGATCAATCGTTTTCTTGATGACATCTTAGCCTAGGGGATTGCAAATTGGACCTGTCTCTCCTTGTCATTTCACAATCTTTCTTTTTTAGACCACTTGAAATATTTACACTCTTTGGAAGTAGTTATACCAGAGCATTCAATATAAATTCTGAAAAAGTTGCTTGCTTGACATCTCTGCAGGACTGGTTGAAGCTGGCAATCATCTAAAGATGGAGATGTAGACTAGAGCTTCTATTTCTTCTGCAACTTATCAAGATTCTTTTTGTTTTCTTTTCAAGTACATAGCATATATCAATTGTTTGTAACTGCTCCATAATATAAATAAAATTTATTAGTACCTGTTAACTTCAGTCACCGTCTGCACGTTCAAATCACGATATAGACCAGTGAACAAAACAAACAAAAGAAAAAAAGTAAAGGTCGATAACGATCAGCCGCAGGCTAATCCGGGACCAAAAATCTAATCAGTTTGCATAAGGATTTTAATCTGCATTTCTCATCGGTCACCCTCCCTCCATTCAGAAGTTTTGGTAAAGCGAAAATCAGTGCTAGTTAAAAAATTTGTTTAATCGAGTTATATTAATTAACCGAACATAGCTTTCTCTGTATGACTGCATTAAGAGTTACTTTGGTTAGGTGAAAGAGAATGAAAACAGAGAAGAAAGAAGGGTTTGGCCTTTGGGGACAGAATAAGGGCCTCTTGATTGGGACAGTGATAGGAAGGCCACAGAATGATGAATACAAAGGTCTAAATATGGGGTGGAGAAGAGGGTGATGAGCAGACATTTGCATCTCTTAAATTTATTGCAGTGGTCTTTTGTCTCTCAACTACTCCAAACAATTGTCATTCATTTCAACCAAAAAGCCCGTTTTCTAATCACGTGTCCATGGTTGAAAGGATGCATGGTCACCCCAGTTTTCTCATGTTTAGAACAGTATTGACAAAGGACACTCCCGCGAAAAGGAGAAGATATGTTACCATTTCTTCATTTCAGTTTCTTTCTCATGGAAACCAAAACCCAAATCTCAATCAAATTTATCATTTTTCAGTGTTTTGGTCTGTGGAGTCGGAGGTTAAGTCTTCTTGGCCAAATTATCTTCTGATTTCAAGTTTAGGTCACAGTTTGATCTTTAATGTTCTGAAAATCCATGTTTGTTTAAACAATTTTTGTAAAAATAACTAAGTATCTTAATATCAAATCTATATTTATAAACTTTCGTGATAGATTTCTAATTAGAACGGACTAAATTAGGATCTATGCACCAATAACCTTTATCTTAGGATTAATCTTTTTTATGATTCAATCAATTTATTGATTGTTTCGTTGCTGAATATCAACCGTTCAGTCCATAGTCGTTGTAATCATATAATATAATGAGAATTTGCTGAATATTAACCGCTCAGTCTGTACTCGTTCTAGTCATATGATATAATGAGAAATGAAAATCTGATTAGTAAGTTTGTTGATGTAGGTGTGGAATTAATGAAGAGACATAAATAATGTGTTATGTTAATTTGCATGAAAGGAAGTTTTGAATGTTTGGTTGCATTGGGGAGTGGTTTGTTATTTATCTTGGAGGGAGGTGACAATGGTGGAGCTGTCTCATTCATAGCAAAGATATTGTTGATTCTTTGTTCCTGCGGATAGGGAGAGATGATATAGGAATTTGCTTTCAGTGGCCCCTCTTCACTGTTTCTCTTCTTATGTCTCACTCTCTGCCCTTTCACTCACATGGGGGCTCCTTCTCCACTTTTATTCTTATTTAGACTAAGCAAAACCCACAAAGATTCCCTCTCCAAAATACCTTTTCAAGTT